TTCGATGAATCGTAAACTTGTGACTTAATTATACCAGAAAAGGTATGTTTTGGGTGAAAGGAGCTCTTGTGCAAGAGTTGATGAGTATCAGTTTCTTTGAAATACACTTTAATATCCAGTTTATTTGTTTCTGCTATGGAATCTCCCTTAAAGACTGTGGTATCGAGAAAGTCTATGCTTTTGTCACTCACGTTTGCGGTTAGTTTGATAGAAGGATGGTGGTTGTTGAGAATTTCAAAGAATTCTCAAAACTGTTCGATAGAATAAGTCCAAACCATAAAAATGTCATCCAAAAAGCGTCCGTAAAAAAGTGGGTCAAATGGACAGAGGGGCAACACCTCACGTTCCCACTCTGCCATGAAAAGGTTTGCGTACGTTTGCCCATTGCTGTCCCTGAAGTTTGTAAATATGTTTTACCATTAAATGTGAAATCGTTTCGACTAAGACAAATCTCTAAAAGCTGTAGAATTGCATCGTCGGGTCTGTTTGGATCTGGGTTTCTATTAAAAGCTTTACGAACTGCCGTTAAACCAGTAGTGTTATCGATATTGGTATACATAGAAGGAACGTCGATAGAAATTAAAATAGCATTAGAGGGAACTCGAAGATTTTTTATTTCATTGACAAAATCGGTTGTGTCTTTAAGGTAGGCGCGATGTTGGCATGCTAGAAGTAGTAAGAAATGATCAATGTATTCTGACACTGCATATGACTCACTACCACAGTCAGATATAATGCAGGAATAAGGTATGGCTTTATTTTCGTTGTAGGTTTCGCAATCCCATGCGTATAAACAATCATCGTGAATGGTTGGAAAAACGTTTAGTTTTAGAGGTGAAACTTGCGTTACCGTTTTATCATCTCTACAAGTTCTCCATACATTTTCATCTTAATTATCTTCTATTAGGTTTTGTTATTTCTTCTTATCAAACAGAAATGTTCTTTGTGTAAATAAAAAACCAAATCTAATTCTTTGGATACTTTTTTTGGTTGCAAATGTCTATGTTTGGGCATATAAATTTGAAAATTAGTATTAAATTTCTTATTGAATTCGCAGATTCTAGCAGTTGTCATAACTCCTTTTCTGTTTGATTTTGAAAAACTGTTGATGAAATCTTGAAATTCTCTCGTGTAGTCTTCGTTTAAAACACGATTAACGCACTTAACAAAGCAGTATTCATCGCTCGGTACATAACAATTTATACCGATATATTCTTTTATCTTTTTGAGTAGGGTAACACTACTACCCTTTTTTGGATCTTTTTATTTCTGTGAAATTGTTTTTATGGAAAATCATTTTTCCTGTGAAATACCAATCGGAGGCATCCGATTTATTATCCACCGCAGTGAAGAAATTGACAAAAGTTTTGGTATTAAAACCTACAAATTTCATGTCTTGTTTGTATTTTCCATCTTGAGTTATCTCTCCAACTATTTCAATTTGCCCTTTAAATGTTGTAAATTCATTAGTGATAAGCTTAATAACATCGTAAAAAAGTTCATTTGATATGAATTTATCAATTTTATTCATATTTTTTATTCATCAGAGATAATCTTGTCAATAATATCGTCTAAAATTTTAATTGATATGAATTTATCATCGTCTACAATTTCAATTTTATTCATATTTTTAAGGCAACTATTTTTAACTAGGAATTTTTAACTTTTATTGATGATATTTCTACATCAAATTTATCTAAAATTTCATTGAATTTTTCTAATTCTTCAATGGTTATGTTCTTATCTTCTCTCGATCTTTCGAAAAATATAAACAATTTATTAAGATATGTATTTAAAATTTCTGTTTTCTTTTTATAATAAGCTTTCTGTTTTGATTATTTTTAAAGCAACCATTTTTAACTAGGAATTTTTAACTTTTATTGATGATATTTCTACATCAAATTTATCTAAAATTTCATTGAATTTTTCTAATTCTTCAATGGTTATGTTCTTATCTTCTCTCGATCTTTCGAAAAATATAAACAATTTATTAAGATATGTATTTAAAATTTCTGTTTTCTTTTTATAATAAGCTTTCTGTTTTGATAAAGTAATCAAACCACAAGATGAAGTTTGAACGGCAGTGAACGCGGCTAATACAGTTGGGACGATTATTGGAAGCATTAATCCATAATTACTAATGATATTTGTTCTTTCGAATCATTAATCTTATTCAGCTGAACTGAAACTTTTGGTTTTCTAATAAAGATTGATATATTAACATATGCATCATCTATTATCAAAAAAAATTTTTGTTGTTGACTTTTATGAATATCAATTGAGGTAAATTTACCATCATTAACAAAATATAGTTTTACGTATTCAAAGTCTGTTGCTCGTAAAAACTCATAAAAGCTTATATCTTTTTTTTGTGGTTCTGGATTTCTAATAATACTTACTGATGGTGGAGTTTCCGTCCCCCATATCATATCAAAATCACAAAATGAAAGATAATTATTTTCTTTATCTGGTATGATTAACATTCTAAACCTATCTATATATTGTCCATTCGTTTTAATTTCATATAAGTGATCAACCTTGTTGTTTTCGTCGTTAATTACAAATTGTTTAGTTTCTACATTTTCTGTATCATTGATAAACTGAAGAACTTTACGAGCGTTAAATTTTTTATTAGATGAAAATTGTGAGAGTTGTTTGAAGAATATTAAATCAACTTTTACCTGGATGGGAAAATTAATTTCAATTACAAGTTTTCCTTTAAAAGTAAAATCTGGTAGATAATCACTATTAAATATATCATAGGGGTGGAGAAAATTTGAAGGAGAAAATACTCTTATATTTAGTTTAAATCCATGTTTTTTAAATTCATAGTCTTTTGATTTATCAATATTATCAGTAATAGAAGCATCTTTATTACTCAAATTTCCAAATGGAAGATTGAAAAAATATGATTCTTTCTTGAGAAACTTTTTTTCTAATGCGACTATATTTTTGTCTTGTTTTAAAACTAGGTTATTAATAGTGGTTATCTGTTGTTGAATAACACTATCATCAATGTTCTGTATTTGTTGATGAATATAA